TGCAAATCAGGAGGACTCCTTGAGCTCATGGCTAGAGCAGGAGGGTAGCAAAGGGACTCCTACTGATTTTAATAAGCAGCAAAAGCTTCCTTCTCCCTCACTGCTGCACTGCATTGGAATTCAGTGGCAATTCAGATAGATACAGCAAGATATTGGAGAGTGTTATCACACCAGCTTGTAGAAATCCACAGCAAAAAGCCCGGTATTTATATTCCACTATTTAAAAAAAAAGAGAAGTAGAAGAGCTTCAATGGAAACATACCATCTCCATGCAAACAAACTCAGATACATGGCAAATGATGTTTAGCTCAAGCTGCAAGAGCTGTGCAATTATTAAACAGGTGTTTCTCTCTAAATATCAAGAGTTTTAACACCTTTTAAATACATTACAAGCCAAAAATGAAATCCTCCCAAGCCATCAGCAAGCAGTATATGCAGCTCCAAGGTCATGAATCTGTCAGGTGCAAAAAATGCATGCAAGGGATGGAGGAAGCCCTCCCTGCCCCTGCAAAAGGGAGCAAGACAAACTTGATGGCTTTATAAACTACATGCTCATTCATTCACTTCCACAGAGCCTGCTGGGGGACTGATGAACAGAAGGCAAATAGTCCTCCAGCCCCTGGGCTATTATTAAGAATAACTCCTGACATAAGGGAATACTGCAAACAGCTGTAGATGATCCTAGCAAAAGTAGGCACTCTCCTTTTTATTACAGTGTCTCACAATATAAAATCCTTTTGCTATAAATCACCCAGTTGCAGAACTAGCCAAAATCTATCAACAATTTAAGAAGTAGTACTGTATGGGAAAGCAGAGAACAAGATGCTCTAACCAGGGGGAGGATGATTTCATGGATTATGGACCAGAACAGGTCACATGAGATCAGGGATCTGTTTCCGGCCCTGCCACAGAGCATCCTAGAGACCTTCAACAAGTTGTTTGTACCCACCTGTAAAATGGGGATAATATCTCCTTTCTCCTACTTTCCATCTCTTCAATATTTAGGGTCAAAGGGTTAACTTTCAAGGCCTTTGGGACAGGGACAGTGAGCCTATATGTCTAACGCTGCAGGGCCCCTATCTCAGTTGCTTCTGGTCAATAGGGCCATTATATCATGTACAGGAATAGCACTAGAAAGAGTTTTAAAAGGATTTAATTTAAGACAGATCTTGACCATCTGACTGCAGGAGAGAATGGAGAATACAGCTGCCATCGTGTACACGAGAAAGCAAGGCCTTTCCAAGAAGATGAATGGCAAGCTCTGTGATCTATATCACTTAATGCTAATTCCTCTGAATGGAAAAATTCTACCAGGCAGTGAAAAGGCCAGAGCTACGAGACAGATAAGAGCGCTGGCCAATGAAGAAGCAGCGGGTTTCCAGGATGAGGATGTTGAGATGGATTTGTGGAGTAGGCAGAAAAGGTCATGAGAGAGACGGGGAGCTTCAGGAAGTGGAAACAGTGACTCAGCACTTTGCAGGGTCCCAAGTGACTTGACCCCAGTCATGCAACAACCCAGGAGCAGAGCCCTGATCTCCTGAATACTGGGTTTCTACCCTCACCACAAAGCCATCCTGTCTCTCTTGCACATCAAGGCCACGTGAAGCGAAGCAATGACCATTTTGGCCATGGATATGGACAAGCTCATAGCTGAAGAGGGGCCCCTTGAGGGACATGCTGGGGCAACGTCTCATCCTGAGCTGTGGTGTGGTATTCACTCGTACTAGGGTGAGGGGCAGGAGTGGCTTGATACTAGCCAAGAGCTTTGTGTGGGGACTACCCAACATAGATTGGACTCTGAAGGCCTTGGCTCTGGCATGGCACATGGCAACCTTAGCCATGTATAACAGGAAAGCTCCACAAACTGACCCTCATGGCATAGGGGCTAGTCCCTGGGGTCTCTGTCCCTTCTTCCAAACAGGAGAGTCACATCACAACCCTCTGCAGCATCAGCCCTCACCTTGATCAAGTCACTTGTACCTCAGCAGGCTCCTCCAATGTTGGTTTGTGTGAGTTGTCCCCATACCCATCTTCTTTTTGTAACCGAGTCATTCATAAGCCCCAAGGATTCCATTATAATCTAAAGCAGCAAAAAAAGACCCATCTCGACTGGCTTTTAGGAGATGGCTAGACCACAGCTCAGGATCCGACAAAAAACGTTTAATTGTCTCAGTTGTGGCCCAGTGTTGTATTAGTCTCCACCGGTTTGGTCAGACCCAGCAAAGCAAGTGACATGTCCCAACATGGGCAGAGAGAGGTAGGCAGCATTGTTAGTCTGAAGTCAGGCAGAAGGCAGAGTAGTAATGCACTTCATAGACTAACTGAATCAGAGATGCCTAAGCTTTCATACATAAGAGCTCATACGAGTAACATGCAATTAAAAACCTCAAGTTGTGGGCAGCTTGGAAGACAGAAACTCTTCTATTTTTAACTTGCTTCTGTTACTCCATCATAGTAATTTATTCTTCAAACACGTGGAAGACAGAAAGAATAACCCCCTATTAAATGGCTATCATGATTCAGGTCCTATAAATGAAGATCATCATCATGGTGTCTCAGAACCTCTACATGCCTGATAAGAGCCTGATTTTGCCTCGAGTCCCCAAGGAGAGGCCAATTAAAAGAAAACAGCATTGTCTCTGGTCGACAGGCAAATTCATGGGCTCGATTTCTTTTAGTCACACATCAGAAGTAATGCCACTGAACCCAAAGGAATTACAACAGGGCAAGTGAAAGAATCAGTCCTGTGGACTTGGAAAAAGTCTTGTAAGGTTACAAACATGTCCTGGTGGAGTTTGCAAGCAAAACTGATCATAACCATCAAGTGCAGGCAGCAAAAGAAAGTAATTCACAATGCACACGGTATCCCTCTTCATTCCAGCAAGAGCCCAATATGATCTGCTCATCCGACCTGAAACGCACAGAACTTTCCTTCCCAACTGTTAAATAACCATCATGTCCAAGCAACAAGATGCAGCAGGCGATTCACAATAATACTGTAGAAATTAGCATGTGCCCCAGCAACAAGAGTCAATCTGGTAGAATGTGGTAGAGGTTCTTCCTCTTTAGCTGCATTTTTTTTCCAAGTTGCTTTTTTAAGGTACAGTGTTATGAAGCTGTACTGAATATTCAACAAACAAAGCAACTTCATCATGGAAAATGAGCCTTTTGCTCTATTACCGACCTAATTCAAAGGCAGCTTGTGCTAATCCAAACTGGTGCTGCTATTCCAAAGCGGGAAGTGGGAAAGAGAAAGCAATCTCCCAGTGGAAATTCAAAAGTCAACATGGAAAGGTGGCAGATTGTCAATCAATCTGCAAAATGATTATCAGAAGCCAGGATTTAAGGGTGTGCTAAAATCATTCATGCATATAAACAGCAGAATTCTCTCTCAAGCTCACACAGCCAATTAGTGAGCAGCACAAATCAAGCACATAATGCAGTTTGGATTAGAGCAGTGGGATTATGCATGCAGTTCATGATGTTGATGTTTCCATTTCCATGTAACACCATTGTCAATAGTTCCCCCAGTGTCTTGACCTGCCACCCTCTGCTCCATTTAGTCACAACCCCTCATGCTGGATACTGAGAGATGGGAAGGGTGTCAGGACCCCCAGGATTAGGATCCATGATTTAGCTCACCCAGCATCTTGGTGGCTCCTAAACATGATGTTACCAGCAAAAGGTAACAACAGAGATGCCCCATTGCAATAGACCAAGTCTACTGCACTGGTGGAAATGGATGAGTCCCGTGCAGTCCATGTCTCACCTCTGGAATACAAGGAGCCCAATATTCAAAATACAGCTGCCTTAACAGAACATCAGCACTCCATTAACCTGAATGGGCACAGCCAATCACAGGAAAAATAAACAGCGTGGGACCCAAGGACGACCCATTCAGAGAATGGAGGCATGTAAACTAGATGGATGGTCTTATAAGGGCCCAACTTTTGGAAATGTGCAGCCTGCAAAAACATCTTCATCACCCTTGATCCTAACTAGACATGTCAGACACTGCTATATGGCCATGGATGGGGTTTGCCACACAGAGAACTTGAGAAGAAAGGGAGATCTGGTACAGGAAAGAGGTGAAGGTACCAGTCTATCCTCCCTTGGAGGCCTGGGTTCAACCCCAAGCTCAGGTCACAGGTAAGAAGGGGTGGGCTCAGATCTGTGTCCCATTTTCCCCACAGCCCAGAACTGACACGTGGCTCAATGCAATTGGCAGGGTAGATTTTTCTAAGACCCAGTGACAGCAGGCCACAAGTTTGAAGGGCACCGGAGTACCTGCCTGGAGCATCTGGTACAGGATGAAATCTTAGTCCTATTATAGTCAATAAGCATTGTGCCACTGATTTAAAATGGGGCCAGGGTTTCACCCAGGAAGTATCATTTACACATATTGTAATTGTTGAGATGGGTTTGAAACCAGCCAACAAACCCAACCTGGAGGAAGCTCAGACTTGGATGCAAATATGTACAGCCACCTGCTCCCACCCATCTTTACAACATACTGGCCCAAACACCCAGATCCATGTACCCTCCAACCATCAGTAAGATTTGGGTCAAAATCTGGAGTGGAGAGGGGTAACTCAGAGGCAGATGCCACAATGGTGGTATGACATAAGAACCTGACAATTAATTAAGCCCAATATCTCCCAAGATGCCTGCACACAGCAGCAGAGCAGCTAGGAGGTCTTGCAAACCTCTAAGAAGCATGAGCTGGAGTACAACCCTAGGCTTGTGCTGAAGGCTGTCCCCAGTTGACCCAGATGTAAATGGGCACTTGGCCACTCAGGCTGGGGAATCAAAGGTGGCTAGACACGGTGCTAGCCACAACACTCTCTTGGACACCAGTAACAGCAGAGTCTGGGGTGCTTTAATCACACTAGCCCATTGTGACATTTGGCTTGGGCCCACCTTCAACTTTCTGATCTCACAATCTCCAGTTCCATTACAACTATCTGCAAACACAGCTGAATTAAGCACGGCTCCCATACCGCTACGGGTCTGTTCCCCAGGAAGTTCAGGTCACTGTTCTCTCCGAAGAGGTAACCCTCAGGATGCGTTGAGTCAAACTTCTCACCTCCCATGATGAAGTGGTTGGCAAAGTAGCTCCCTAGAAAGAAGGACAGGAAAAGAAAAGAATACAGAAGCTGTCAAAGGCACTGAACGGCATAGCAAAACTACAGTAATTCAATCCACTACCCAGCTCCAGAAGCAGCTTGGCCATTTTCAACTCTGATACTCATTCCCATGATACCACTTGAGGCAATGACACATTGCACAGAGGGAAAGTAGCATTATTAACACACTGAATCAAGACTCTCCAGTTCTGCTTTGTTTGTAACATCGTTTTGCATGCATCCCCTTGACTAGAGATACCTAGGAAGCCAATGCTTACACTCATAACCCACGTGAGACCTGGTAGAAGCTTCTCTATCACTAAGGGGTGATTTTGTGAACAAAAGACCTGGGCTTCATGCTGCTCCCAAGGGTGGGAGGCACCAGCTATTTGTTCTTAATGGGAAAACCTTACCATGTGCCCTAGATTAGACAGGCAGAACTAAGTTAAAGAAAACTTAAAGCTTGATCCCATCACCATTTTGACAGCTCTTTGAGTAGGGAAACTTATTTAGGACATTTCCCCAACAGGCCTTACAATTGAGCAGTGCTCTCCACTCGCTCCAAACAAGACAGCAAAGACCGACAAAAGT